TTTACAGGACAGAATTAATGTTGTCTTGAAGTAGTGTATAAATACGTTGTAATAGGGACTTTGTGGGGAGTTCTGAGGTGTTGCATGGTGTCTTGTCTTTTACTTCTGCCTGTCTACTGGTCTGTAGTCTATGCTAAATGGCTGACATCATCAGTATAGTTATTATTTTGAATATAGAGTTCTGCATGCGAATTTAGCTCTGAAGTTCCTGAATTACTAATTATTGAGTTTGAGGAAGTTGCTGCCTTTGTTTTTCTTACAGAGGCTCTGCTACTATAAAAATGTCAGTAGGGCAGTAATTAGCTGTCAATTACACTGCCTTTCAAAATTATGTGAGGCTGTACATTGATATTTTCTTCTGAGTCCTGCGTGGTTATGGAAAAGGTTAAAGTTTTCCAAAGGTTAAAGTTTTCCAGCTGTTTCTTCTCATGACTCTACTGGGGATTTTTCATCTCCCGGTGAGTTGGTTTTTGTAACTGATCTGTGTTCCATCTCAAAAATTGCCTGTGATAACTTGAACCACCATTAAAACGGACCTGGCTGATGTTTTTTCCGGTCACATAAGGTGAACTCGTGTGAACTACTTTGTGAAGGTAAATGGCAGGTTTAAGTCTCTATCAAGTAAGTAATGATAGTCATTGGAGTCTGTAAGTTTTTTGTTGATGTACAAATCAAGGTGAGATCATCTATCTGTGGTTTACAGTAAGCTGAAAATAGTTTTTATCTTTTTAATAGCTATGTAATGGCTGTGTGTGTGCTATGTTCAACTGGCCTAGTGGCTTCAGCAATGGAAGGGCATTTGAGCATATGAAGTAGATATAATTGCCCTGATAGGTCTGTGTAATGTAGTTTCCAGCCTAGGACCTGATACATGATTTTTATATTTTTTTTTTTTTCCCCCAGAAAATGTTTAGGATGTCTGTATGAATAACCTATTCTCATTCCTGTATTGCTTTCTTTATGTGATTTGGTTTCTTGCTTTTTTTTTAAAGATGTAATTGTATGATGCAACTTGAAGTGAGTTGGACTAAGTGATGTTCCTGTTTGGGAAATTCTGGAGTGGTTCTCATGTTGCTGTTGTATGTGGACCACCAGCAAAGTTCACAAACTGCTTTATGTCTCTTCCCAACCTGACTCCTCAGCTTCCTGAGGTGGCCGCTATTGTTCTGAGGTCACTGCGTAATAGATAACACCTTGGTGAAAAATCTGGTTTGTGGTCCAGCTCACCTTGTGCTCAGATGCTCTGGCATGATCTTCTGGCGTGATCTGGCGTGATCTTCTCATCGGTCTCCTGTTCTTGCAAGTGCTTTCTGCAAACCTGAACACGTCGTCTTTTTGTTTCTGTATTTGAGCCCATGCTGAAGTTCAAAAGCTTCTTGTGCTTTCTTGTCCCAACAAACCTTCATTCAGAGTCTCAGAACTGAAAACTGTGTGAGGCAGTTAGGAGGGAAGTGGCAGCTGGGGATCACCAGGGTGCAGCACTGTATGCGTCATGGGCTTGAAGGTCTTCAGCAGACCTTAAGGTAGGAAGAGATTATACTGCAGAAAGTTGGCCAGACAGTGTTGCCTTTGAGTCATTTTGTGTATCGCACAGAGGGGAAAGCTGTGGAGCTGAGAAGCCTTTGTATGGGGAAGCAGCAGAACCAAGACCTGGTCACATTGCAGAAGCCCTGTTAGGTGTCTACACAGGTCTGAAGATTCATGCTCTGGGTCTGAGTCTTTAACAGCCACTTCCCTTTGATCCCAGCCTTGTTAGAGTTGCAGCATCATCTATAAGAAGGAAGTAAATCTGTCTTCATTTGCATCAGCAGCTAAAAGACGCCAAGATTTGGGGAAGCAGCATTTGCATTTATTGCCAGCCCTGACTGCTGCTGGTGCAGAAAACTCTAAATAAGTATACATTTGATTTTCCACTTTTCCTTCCTCCATAATGCCACCTGCATGTGCATGCCCATAATAATAAACGTCACCTGTGATCTTCAGTAATACTCCTCTTTTGCAGTATCTTCTCATCTTGATGGAACCAGTCTTCACCCCCCGCTACTCGCCCCTCTGCTGCCCTTTTGCTGGCTTTCCAAGCACTAAAATAAGTGCTCTTCCTCTGGCCAGGTCTCAGTCACAGAAAAAAAACAACCCACAAATCCTTAAGAAACAGTAATATAGCAGAATATAGCAGCATTAAAATTAACCTCATTAGGGGAATTTTGCTCAGCTTTATAGTGTTATATTTTTCCTTTTTTTTTTTTATCAGCCTCCAATACTTTATGCATTAGACTGTATCATAGCTTCTTAACTAGATATTTCCAATTTATAAAAAATTACAAGCTATTTCCAGCAACTCAGGGAGGCACCAAGTCTTGAATTACAACGTCCAGGCGCTACTGTCTGTTTGAAGGCTTCTCAGAGACAAGTTCATCTGGAGAGGATGTGAAAGGAAATCCTGTTGTGCTGAGAAACTTATTCTTCAGAGACGTGTTACTTTTATTCACTGCCCTTCAGCCTGACTTTTGGACAGAGTCTCTGGAAACATGGCATGGGCAAGTTTCAGCTCCATCTGGCAGGAGTTCTCTCTTTCCAAATCTCAGTTTCTGCTTTATAATGTAGAGCAGGAATATGATCTTAAGCAGCAGTACTGATTGCGGGTAGGAAACTGCAGAAGCGCCAGCGTAACTGCAAGTCCTGTCTCCTTTGCTGCAGCCTCTTACATTGCTCTGGGAGCTGGGCAAAGCAGCCCGGCTGTGTGGAGTGTGCAGTGGGGACAGCCCAGCTAGTCCAAGAGCTCTGCCTCCTGGAAGATCTCCCTCAAAGCTGAGTTCGGCATGGGTGACCACACTCGTGAGCTGTATGGGAAGCTACCAAAGAAGGCAGGGGAGAAGTTATAAAAGGATTTCATAACTCTTAGCTCTCCTAGGGCTGGAAAGACATTTTGCAGACTCTATTATTTCCTGAAAAAACAAAAATAAAAAATCCCCAAAACCAAGCAACAACCCTTTCCACCTAAACAAGGAAAACAACTGCTTGTTGATATTTTATTTTTATTTTTTTTTTTCCCTCTAGCTTGTCAGGCTGCATATCTGTGTGGTCTATAATCCCAAGGCTCCTTGTTTTTTTTTCCACCTCCCAGGCTTTAACCTTCACCCCACAGCAAGAGGAAGGAGAGTGCAAAAGTAGTCCTTACCAAGCAGACCTGGTGCTGGAGAATGTGCTTACTGGTGGCTCTCTTCCTCCTCCCTCACTGCTTTACTCATACCTGTCTGGGAGAGAGCACCTTTCTGTGAGCTTGTGCTCACCTGTATGGAGGACCTCTAGCATGAGCAGCTTTCTGGCTTAAAAGGGAACCGCGTGATGTGGAGTTCGATGGCTTCTGTCACTAGTCATACACCAGCTGACTGTCACTGCAGGTTGACTTCTCCTCATGACACAGCATGTGGAGACCAGCCTTTGAGTCCTTCCTAGCGAACAGGGCTCTGTGCATCCTTAAAGTTGTATTTACTTCCAAAGCTGCTTTGGATGAGGTTGGGGCTGGTTTTGTACCCTTGAACTGTGTACTTGATGGACAAAGATTTTGTTTTGTACTCAAAGCAAGATTTATTTTCTGCTGCTGCCTCAAACGAATCTGCCTCTGGTCCAGGCCATGCATAAGGCTTAAAAATCACAGAAGTGGAAAAAAACGCTCTAGCAGAGCAGATTGCATACAGCAAGTGTATTGAGCTGTATGTATCAGTGTCTTGCACTTTGAGAGAATTTGATGTGAGAAAGAGGACCTTAGTTAAAACTGTTGAAATAGCCAAAGCCCTTGGAACAACCAGTAGTAATAACACTGAGTGGGAGAAGAAAAAGAGCAGGAGAGATGCTTGAAGTGTTTTTAAAAATGCTTAGTCTCTAGCTGGGTATAGATTTTCACATTAAATAACAAAGTGTTTAGGTGGCCTGTTCTGTTGCTGACTACTGGCAGAAATGGAAGAACACAAAAGGTTCTCAAACTGTCTCCTTTGCTATTCTTACGCTTATTGAGAAAAATCTGCTGGAAGGCATTTCCTTTTATTACTTCTCTTTTTTACCTTGTGTTTTCTAGAGAGGGGACTCAAACATTTTTCAGAAAGCTTGTGTAAATACAGCTAGAAAGTAGAATGATTGGGTCTGTTTGATTTAATCGGATGCTTTTTTCTCTATCTATTTTCTCTATTTCTGTTTAAATATTTGTTTTGCTCCATTTATGAGACTTCAAAGTGCAAGTGAAAAAATGTGGAAATAACTTTTGTGTTTTCATGACTGTGTTTTGTAGAGTCTGATTCAGAAAGCAGAAATCTGAGTAGTGGAAATAACGTAGCGTTACAGTGTTAGCAGGTACACTGCAGCCTTTTCATTCTTTCTATGCTGAATTTTTATTCAGAGAGGAAATATTCTGTAAAATTAAGCCTTTCCTGGTGTGTTTTTTGTGAAACCCCATGTTTGAAAGTGGGGTGAATAGCGTTCTCTGTCTGCAGCCTGTCCTTTACTTCATAAATTTGGATCCTCATTGTCAGTTCTTGCTTATGAGAAGTGCTGTGTATGTTTTGATGACAATTCTTAATGCTTTGGAGCATGAGGTTGGATGTGTAGCAGGAGATGAGGTTCTCCATCTCTTGTGAAGACTGTTAAAAGGTAGTTGAGTCCTCAACCTGCCGTGCTAGAAGTGCGACAGAGTATTTGTTCCAAATTCTTTACCTGATTTAGGTGTGTCTGCTCATAGGTGTTTGGTTTGTTGCTTTTTATTTTTTAAAACTGATTTTAATTTGATTGAAAGCATAAGGTTGTTGTCAGGAAAGGGAGCTCTAGGCTGATTAGGCTGATATGTACACTGGAATTAAGTCAGGCTTTGACTACATATAAGATCTTTGGTGTGTACATGCTGTAATTAGGAGTTTGCAGCCTCTTGGAGCAGAAGTGCAGTTTTTTAGCATTGGTAGGGCACAGTTGGTGGTGTATCTGTAAGTAACATTCTGATTTTGATGTTCCAGGTTTTCTTTGCCTAATTCCCCACATGATGGAACAGATCTCTTCTTGACAGGCATGGATATGTAAACCTTTTCAAGATGCTTAAGACCTGTGGTGAAGAACCAAGTGGAATGACAAGTGAGGAAACTTACTTTTATTCCTAACATACTCTGCTGCCGTTTGTTATTTCTTTACCTGATGTAAGTCAGCTTTTTCAGATGAGAAATCAGTAGCTGAAATCAAGTAGGTATCCTTAGCAAAACTTACATTTGAGCTCAACTTGGCATGTTGGGTACTTTGTCAGTAAAGTGTTAATTGTTTTTAGTAGATTAAGCACAGCTATGTGTATTGCTCAGTGTTAAAACTCTGCTTAAAGTTGTATGATCTGTGATCAAAATATCAATTTTAATTTGTGTTCTAATCATTCCTTTGCCAGAAGGGAGCATCCACATCTGCTGACGTCTAATTTCTATGTTTGAAAGTATGGTTTCCTGACAGAAGAGTACATTATATTTTTTAACAGCAGATTTTTATTAAATGTGCCATCAGTGGTGGTTTTGGAAAGATGAGAAGGGACCTACTGCGGGGCAACTCAGTAAAGCTAAAAATGTAAGTTCTATGCCATTATGACTTTACCTGAATTACAAATGTAGATTATTTCAGTCTCCAGCAAATCAATATATATACATGTGTGTGTTTTTTAAAAGCCAAAAGATTCAAATGAACATTACATGATAAATATTTTATGTAGTTTGAAATTAAGAAATTCTTTAAAAAAACCCAAAACCAAAAGCAAACCAAAACTAAAAAAAACCAAACACCACCCCCAAAACCAAACTCTTATATGGGAGCTTATATGACTTGTGCCTTTTAGCTTAATTTTAGAAAATGCATCTGTAGGCTGTTAATTTTTTTTTTTAATTTCTTCAAAGTTCTAGAAGAATTATTCACTGTAAGTATGCAGATTCCACAGTACTGGTTAGCAATGTGATGGCTTGTGTATGACAAGACCATGTTAGCACTACTTCCTAACATAAATGAGATCTTAGATCTTTTAAAAATAGCAAATTTGGTTTTGGAGGGTCTTGGGGATTTCCCTCTCACACCCCTCTCCAATTTTCTATTTGGATAGTTTAAATGTTTCAAATTCTTTATATTATGTGTCATAAGAAAGAGTACAGTTTCATCTTTTTTCTAAGGATAAGTTACAATTAAGTTAAAGTTAGAATTTACTTTACCTGTGGTGGATTCTGGAGGGGTTTTCTTCTTTCTACATTTTTCCTCCTTAGTGTGAGGAGTCTGACTAGGGTGACTATTACGCACGTGCTCTTTTGGATTAATTTATTCTATGGGCAGTTGTATTAATGAAAATAAAATGGAACATATCGGAACATGTGTCTGCAAGAGAATTCCTTTGCAGTAAGTACAGTGATTTAAACTGACTTCATGCTGTATGGAAGATTTTTTTAATATATTTTCTTAAGGCTGCAATGCTTCATCAATTAGTTTATCAGTTTTGGTATGAGAGTGCAAAAAATGGAGAGGGGGTGAAAAAAATCTTACATATTTTTCATCTTCTGTATAACCGACAGACACTTTGTATTTGTTGGAAACATTGGTCATCTTTTGTTCTTTCCCCTTGGAGAATTTTAAACACATTCTTAGAACTTGGTTATGAAATGATTACTTTTCCTTTCTCTGGAGAGGAAAGTTGAATGTTGTTAATAAGATGCTGGGACTAAGACTTGAGATCTTGGTCCATGCTCTTCTTGTGCCAGGTTGGCCACTTCTCTACACTTCGTTGTTCTGTCTGTCAAACAGAAAAGAAAAATGTGTTGGGCTGATTATGTTGGTACCTGCCTGTTTCTGTAGTGCCTGGTCTGCCTGTTGTGGATGCTGATCACTGGCTCTGTGTGTCTGTGCCTACAGAATGTCTGTGATGCATCCATCCAGCTCCTTAGGGGTAGCAGTACTGCCTGAGGTTCATAATCTACCACCAGAAATAAACTCTGGCCAGCTAGAAAGATGAAGATGTTAAAGTCTACTTTTTCTCCTATAGGTTGGTAGGGTTTGAAAATGATCTTATCTTGTAGAGAATGCAGGTGTCTTAATATCTCTTTTATTTGTAAGATTGCTTAATTTGGAAGGTAATTCTCTCATGGGCAGATATTTGTACGTATGCTTGTTTGGGAGGAAATCCTTAATGTCAGGAGATGTGTATTTCTAAAGAACTATGATTGAGGAGGTGCTCGTGGTTTTTGTTTTGCCTTGTTTTTAAAGGTGAAGTTGAGACTGTCACAGGAGTATTGTTTTTTATCAGTGCTGAAATGAAACAGCTGTTTGTTTTAATTGGATGTGTGTCGAACGGCGTACCCAGAACTGAGTAGTGAATATCTGAGTGTATTGCAGCCTCTGGCTAATTGTCTAGAATTCCCTTTCAGTGTGTTCAGCACAGCCCTGCTCTTCTAAATCATTATGTTACAACTACTCCATTTTCATCTGGGGAGGAGGGGGGGACAACACGCTCCTCACCCACAGAAAACTGCAGACTGATTATTATATTATTATGTTATCCAGAACCAATAAATAAAGCTGACCTGCAAGTCTGGCTATTGGGTTATTGAAAATTATTTCCACTTTTGTACTAAACTAATTTTCAAAAAGAGAAACTTGAATATATGAAGAGGAAAGTCCCTAGATAAAATCTTCTGTAAAGTTCAGGGCACGCTCTTAAAAGCAAGTGAAAATTGTTCCTTTCAGTTGAGCGTGTTAGTGTTATCTCTTATGTAATAGAGTAGATTGTGCTTTGTATGTGCGCAGGCATCTATTTTTATTTGCTTTTATTGTGCTTGGTAATATCAACAGAAGATAGTGCCCAGGACTCTGTCCAGGAATTTCATTGTAAATATTATGATAAACAAAGGAGATTCTGTCAAAATATCTGTCTGTGATACTGGCCATGGTAAATACCTTATTTTAAATGAAATCCTGATCTTTTTGTCAGGTTTAACAATTCCTACAACTTTACTAAGACTTTAGGCAGAGAGATGGGACAAAAATGTGGATTTGTGCATTGCCTTAGCATGTGTGGGTGTAGTGGGAGTTACCCAGAGTTTGACCTGTGTGTAAATTCTGAGGTGACAGATGACTTTTTCCCTTCTGCCTTCTTTTCCCTTCTGTGATTAATTGCGATAAACAGTCCAGTCCTCAAAAATCCTGAAGCAATGCAGTGTAAATTTGCTAATTGAGATTCATACAGACTGAAGTGTGTGGCTTCATTAGATCATTAGAGTAAGACATCCTAATCCATAGTGGGATACACAGCCTAATGCAGGAAATGCATTGGAAAGGGAACATCCTATAGAGAAGTAAGGCAATTGGTTGTTAAAAGTCCTAGCTACAGAGCATGTTTTTCAGCAGCAGGTCCTTACAGGGTTGATCATTGTTATAGAGTCAGATTAAAACACTGACAACACTTGAAGTCTTCTGCTTAAAGTCTCTTGGTGTTCCGTAGAGTCAAGGTGCGTGAATACCTTCCTCCCTTGCAGGATCTTTTCTTTGTCACTGAACCTGTTTTAGTGAAGAGCAATCACATTTTTTAGCACTGACACATTGGGTGAAGTTAGGTCTCAACCTGTTTTACTGGCTGGAGGATGAATGAATTAGAAATAAATGTTTGAGAAACATGACTTGCTATAACTACTCTTTTTTATTAATTGTCTTGCTTGAATAAGTTTTTGTGACAGTAAGAATGGTGTAAAGATGGCCTCAGAGAGGTGAATTGAAAAAAAAATGTAGTGAAAAAAACAGCTGCAATTGTCCCAGCTCAGTCTGGCCAACCAGTATCTTCTACTGCCATCTCCTTTGTTTTAAGTCCAACTCTTCCTTTTCCTGTGTATTGTTTTCTTTGTTGAGCATTTCAGAATTCCTTGATCTCTTAATTGTTTCAGACATCTGTCTTGTTTGTCTAAGGCCCATATACATATGGTAGAAAGGTGGAAACTTCTGGGATCCTGTAGTTTGTTTTTTTTTTTCCCTGTAACTTGGGAACATAACAGTCTACCCTCTTCTAGATGATACTTCTCTTGGTTGCTGGAAGTGATTGCCAAAGAATAATGGAGAAGAGCTGTCTGAATCTGGCACTGTTCTGACATCATCATTTGTATGCCAGTGATCCAGGGAGGAAAGGACTAAGTGTCTACTTGAAAGTGCTGCCATTGATTTATCTGCACACATTGAATTGATCATCACTGGCAAAATAATCTTTATATAGAAACAGGTATTTTATGGCCTACTCGGTAACTGTTGTCATTAAATAGTGACTCTGCTGTAATTAAATTAAGATTCTCAGTCTTACCAAGGTTTCCTAAATAATTATTTGTAAAAATTATGAATTAGTTGGTGTTATTTGATACAAAGAAAAAAGTGAGATCACTCTGTGCTTTACTTCAATTAATAATCGCTTTCCTTTTCTATACAAGATTAATGCAGCAATTGCAGTTACTATAGATGCCATAATGTTTTAACTAGGTATATTCAAAAGCTTCATGGCAGAAGTGGTGGTGGTGGGGTGGACAGAAGCCTCTTCTTACTTTATGGCTTATAAAGCTGTAAAATGTTTTTAACGATTAAAAAAACCACACACAGGCAGAGGTTGGAAGGCACTTCAGGATGTCATCTGGTTTGACCCACCTGCTCAAGTTGAAGTCACCTGAAGCAGGTTGCTCAGGGCCATGTTCAGCCAAGTTTTGAGAATCTGCAAGGTTGGAGACTCCACAGTTTCTCTGGGCAACCTGTGCTAGTGCTTGAACATTGAGGAATCCCAGGTGTTTACTTGTAAAAAAAAAAAAAAAAAAAAAAAAAAATCAAGGGCTGGGGGGGAGGAGGTCATGAAGAACTTCTGGAAGATTTGGAGATGTCTCTTATGTTTTCCAGTACTTTTGTGAGAGGAGCAAAGTTTGTGAATTTTAGTAGAATGTTTAGTAGGTGTTGGCAGAGGAATATTTGTGAACTGTCTGCCTTGCTTGGCTTCCTTTACTCTTCTGGATTTTTCTTCTAAGCTCCATTTTTATTTGTTCTCTCTTCCAGATGCAGATTCAGTATCTAGTTAGTTGGAAAATAAGTCTGCTATTTAGCTGTCAGTCATTTGAAAAGAAGAAAGGCAGCCTTCTTGAAAATGCTTTCCTGGATGCTGATGTGTGTGTTTGATCTTTTAGCTATCTAAATAGGAGACATGGAAATGTGACTGTGTATTTTATTAAAATTTCTCTGTTCTCTTTTTTTTCCAGGTCTGCTATTTCTGTTATGCATATCCCAGTTACAAGAGATTTTTGGTGATTTCTGAGCTTGGTGGTGTCAGCCTCATGTGAAGAAGCTAAAACGAAAAGCAAGTGGATTTTTTAGAAAATAAAATGCCGCGGAGAAGGAAAACTGGTGGGAGCCCTTCACGGAAGAATGGCAATTCTGACAGAACTGCTTTTGGTGTGTTCCAAGGGGACCCAGGCCGCTCAGTGTCACTAGCAGTGCAGAGTGTCAATAAGGAAGAGCTCTTCAACGGCATGTCAGAGATGTTTTCTGACCTAGATCCTAGTGTGGTTTATATGGTTCTGTCTGAATGTGATTTTAAAGGTAAATAATGTACAGTTGGCATTACAGTTTTGTTCCATACGCACGCGGCTCTTAACTAGCACGACTACAGAAAAGCTGGTGTGGGTGTTGCAAGCATATTTGTGAGTTTAGTTTTTAATGAGTAGGTGAGTCATAATATTTTGAAATTTTGTAGCTCTTTCCGTGCAAGATTCTTGAAGTTTGACAATGTTTCTGTGAGGCTGGTAATTTGCAGTAGCAGTGTGCTCCATAAATGGAGGTACAGTTTAAGTGGCTTGTTCTGTGACACAGAGCAGGCTTTGGTAGAGTTGTGAGGAGAATCTGCTTTTCCCAATTAGTTTCTGTGCCATATCTGCTAGATGCATAAACTGTTTCTGCAGGAGGGGTATTTTGATGTTGTAAATCACAATTTTTTTATGACAATGATACACAGTATGTGGTCCTGGCAGCGTTTGCTTTACTTTAAATACTTGAATTGGGATTTTGTTTTACTTTCTCTTTTGCACTGTCATCTTGTCATCTCCACTGATGATTAGTTTTTGTGGGGTAAATTCTGTTTGTCATGTTGAATTCTTTGCAGCCGTGCTTGGACTGTTTCTCCACCTGTGTTCTGCCAAGCTACATACCCACCTCTCCTGGCAGACTATTTTCATGTCTGTGCCCAGTCGTTCCTATGCTTTTGTGGCTTTGAAATTCTTCTACATACAACTTCATTCACTTATAATAAAAGTAATGGGTGAGGTGGTGGATAGCAACATCTGAGGAGGTATTTAGCAGGATAATGTCCTATATGGAGCATTTTAATCAGTCTGTATTCATATGATCAGATGTGATTAGCTGAGATTTTTCTAAGAGTATTTGCATAGAAGGCAGAGTTTGGCATATTTTTATACAAGTGAAAGCTAGATACCATTGAAGGGACTGCTGTTATTCCTGTTTTTACCTTACTGAAATTGTATGGAGTTTATAACGCTCATGTTTTTTGCTATGATTGTTCCTCCTTTTAAAATTGAAATTGATCAAATTACTGATTCATGCTTTGAAGTCTTAATAAGATTTACCTTTATCAGAATAACACACTTATCAGCAAACTTATTGGAGACTTCAGTAAATATGTTCATTATTGCATTGTACTATTAACAATAGTTTAAAAATTGAAAGATTAGCATCTTTTCATGTGAGTAATAAGTTGCTCTCAAATAGTAGAGAAGATGGAGGGACAAGGAAGATTTTATTTAACGTGTGTGCAGAAAGAATTGCACTTCAATGGACTTAGACTTGTTGCTGCACTGTTTTTCAGGAAACAAAAGCTTAGCTTTAGGGCTCAGATGATACTTATGTCAGGTTTTCATTTTGTTCGTGTTGATCGCAGCCAACTTCTACTCCATTTAGTGGCTTTACAAAGAATTAATTAACTGTTTTTTTCAGACTATATTAGGTATGACATTTTCATTTGGGCCTAGGCATAACGTATTTTGTATACTTATATCTCTTTAGTCCTCAGTAGTGTTTTTCAGTTCATTTTACACTATTTCGCCTATATGAGATAGGTTAGAAATGAGTATCCATTTAAATACCCAGTTCTGATTTTTTCCCAGTTAAAATTAATAATTTTTATATAATATTTCCTTAGTAATTTTTATGCTTATTAGGTTGTTATTTTACAATATGCCTGTATTGAGTTCTGCCTTTACCTCTAATGAGAAAAAGATCAAGGCAGTTCCAGAAGGTGTGTTAAAAGATGAATTGGTGAACTGTCTTTTGGTTGTCTCTTTAGTTGTGAGAAATACTCCTTCAAGTAAACAAATTGCATTCATATCTGCTTGTGTTTGTTCAGCTGACCGTGTTTTATTCTCTTTACCTATTTCAACAGTAGAAAACGCTATGGATTATCTGCTAGAGCTGTCCACCCATGCCAAAGGAGTAGCATCATCAAAAACTATGGGTTTTGATTCAGTAGCATCATCGCCAGCCCTTGTTAATCAGCAAAGATCTGTTGTAAATGAAAGAATGGGGGAAAGTACTGCAGAACAAAGTAATTCTGAAGAAGAAAAAGAAAAGGTGCTATCACCTGATATGCAGCTGACTGAAGAACTGGATTCCTTAATAGAAAATGCCGTTCAGAGATACAGCTCGAGTGATGAATTGCCTAATTCTGCAAATGACCAAATAGTATATGAGCACTCTGTGGAACACGATGGCTTTAATGAATTTCCTGAGTGGGAAAAATCTGATTCAGCTTGTGATGTCCTACTTTTTCCACAGCAAACAGGGACGAATAATGAGCTTTTAGAAAACTTTTGCTGTCCTCAGCCACCAGTGAGTCAGCTGAGCATCCAGAGAAGCTCACCAGCTGCACCAGACACTGTTGCACAGATATTGGAAGATTCTGATTTGTCAGAAATACATGTTTCGTGTGATGTAGCTTCAGAAGTCTGTAAACAATCGAATGGAGAAGTATCATGTGGAAATTCTGAACAGACACAAGATACTGTTTTGGATCAAAAAATTCTGACTTCTGCTTCTGGCGAATCCTCCCAAAGCCCTCTGGAACTTGGAGTAGCTGTCACTGGAAATCCTAATTCAGGGTACCTGGAACAGCATGAAGAGGTAGTGACTGTCTTTAACAGCCAGCAAAGCACTTGTCTTCCAGAGGCATATGTCTCTCTTGAAACATCCAGTTTCAAAACACCAGAACCTGCAGATTTTCAGCAAACTCAGCAGGGTTGCAACTTAAATTGTTCTACACCGTCCTGTCAACCTCAACAACATTGGAATCTTATGGCTCCCACGTTTTATCCATCCAGTGGAAGTCACAGCTTTGTAACTCCTGTGGCTGTCAGTCCAGGGCAGTGGAGACCTGTTTCAGACTATAAGAGTTTGGAAAAAGGACTTTTTTTTTCCTCTCCAGTGGTTTCAAATGCCTGGGATAGCAACCCTTCTCTGAAGGTATGGGGAAATCAAGATAGAAACTCAAAATTGAACCTCTCGCAAGCACAGCAGCCACCTGTTTGTCACATGATGAGAAAAAAGATGCACCTTATAGGTCAAGTACTTGTTCTTCTCAGAGGTGTTCCAGGATCAGGAAAATCATATTTGGCAAGGTAGAACTTCTATATTGTGAGCTTCTAAAAGAAACTGCTTAATTTTGTACAGGATTCAGTGCAGGCAGAGATAATTTTCTGACATTTGTAAATAGTTATGCTTATACCCTAATTGCCAGCTACATGGTACATGCAGCAAGATGAGTAATAATAATTGCAGAGAGTTGAGTTGCTTGCAGCTCCTTGACCTCTAGTAGGAATTGAAATAGGAAGGATTAGCTTTAACTTCTGTCACTGGCCAAAGGATCTTATGTCAGCAGAGGAACATTGCAGTGGTATTAGGTCTACTGCGTTCTTCAAGTTCATTTTGGGTGTTTACTTCCAATAACATGAATGGAAACAGACTAGCTCTTTATAGGCAGAAATTTCCACTGTTGGAATTATTTTTTGTAAGTAGTACACGTGGAGCTTCTTGGGTTGAATTCTTGATTTCTCTTCTAACTCTCCAAAAGCCTAGATTAAGCTTAGGCTTCTTTAGCTGGCACCTGAAATATTTGACGCAATTCAGACTATGTATGTATTTGTCACACATATTTACATCACTAGATATAGATGGAAAAATACCTCCCTTGTTTTGAAATGAAACTTTTAGGAAACCTGTCAGCTGTTTCCCCTAGATATCCTCAGCCTTTGGAAACAGAAGGAAATTTATAGATCATCTTTGCCTGAACAGTTTTTTTTTTTTTTTTTTTTTCCCCTTACCTATATTCGCTGCTTCCATTCCAAATAATCTTGGTTTTGTGCAAGAAACTAAATACACATATGTATGGCAGTAGATATCAGGGCTGGGGAGGAGAAGGGGAAAAGCTATTTACTTCTTGATCTTCCACAGGGCTTTGCTTGAGGATAACCCAGATGGAATCATTCTTAGTACTGATGATTACTTCTATAAACATGGACAATACCATTATGATCCCGATTGCTTAGGGGAAGCACATGACTGGAACAGGAAACGAGGTGAGAAGTAAATAAGGGATTAATTTGCTTGTTTACAGTTCAACGCTTGTGTGTCTTTTTTAAAAGCTGCCTGTCTTGTAATACCTGTGTCATAGGACAAGCATTTATCCCATCATAGAAGTATTTTTTTTAATGTGTGTGTGGTAAAAGAATATGAGCCCAAACTCAGAAGTCATCTGTCCATTGTGTGTTTTGCAATTGAAAATGCCAGTGTCTTTGTCAAAAGATTGTTTTGTCCTCAGATTTTGTCACGGTATGTATTTTGGGTTATGTCCCAGTTCTGGAGTGGTAATCTGTACCATCTCCCAGAAATATTTCTTCAGAGGTGAGCCATTACATATGCATATGCAATAGGCAATGAGGATGTTAATACAAACGAAACTTACACAGATATTTTCCTGCTCTTGATTATTTTTTCTCTTGAGCACTAAGTTCTTGGCAAACTCAAAACAAAATTATAAGAGCAAGACAGAATAAATGATTAATTTTTTTCCCAGAATTTTTTCTGGGTGTATTTTTTTGATAGTGGCTCTCGCTAAGCCCATCACAGAATGACTCTTTAAACTTTTATTTGCTAAATTTCAACCATGGTCATTTTCCTACTCTTACATTTCTAATCAGTGAAGAAATGAGTTAATAAGAAATGTGTAATTGAATGATAACTTTGATTGTTCAGGCGCATTTTAATGTAGCTACAAAAACATGGTGGTGTATCTCACAGCTAGTCATTCTAAACATTTTGCTACTGTATATTTAAATTACATGTAATTTTTTTGATTTTTTTTCATATTTTATGCAGTTTACAGAGTGGACTATCTTAAGACTGTTATAAAGCCAAGAATTTTGTATGCAACAAAGAAGTCCACTTTAAGGTGATCATGTAGGTTTTTTTAAGTTTAATTTACTGATTGATTAGTCATCTTGGTGCATTTTACATCTGCATTTTCATTCCTTGATTATGATTATCATATGTACGTTAATTCACAAGAATAATGCTATATCTCAGTAGCATTACATGTGAGGGGGGAATTTTTAAAATAAGAGGACTCTGAGACAGATCAATCTGTGGCAAGAGTTCTTTACACAGTGGTTAATCATTATGGATTGCCTACTTAAAAAAATATTACAAATTTAGAGAATTAGTATAAATGTCACATGTACACCCTATTGTAACAAAATTAACTGTATCACATTCTCTTGCACATGTGTGTCTTTCAGCCAAAGAAGCATTTGAAATGAGAATCTCTCCTATAATAATAGACAACACCAACATACAAGCGTGGGAGATGAAGCCCTATGTTACTTTGGTTAGTATTACAATTTAATCGATGTGAAAAGGGATTATTGACCAGCGTGGCAACAACGTATGTTTTCAAATGTGATTGTCTTTCTCAGCCTAGCTGTTATTCCACAAGGAAGTCTGGAGTCAAAGAAAAGTGTTACACGGAATCGTATTACCCAGTGTCATATTCTGTTCATGTCTGAGTCTTGGCCTGGCCTCGTTTCCAAGTGACAGAGCCAAGTGCTTTGTGCTTGGGAGAAAAAATAAATATTGTTGAGGAAACTGAGTTCCGTTCCTCTTTTATATGATCAGTAAAATTCTAAGCTACTTAAAAAATATAATCATCACTACTTAATGAGAGTAATGTTTGATGCTACATGAAACTTACAAACTCAGTCTTAGTTTCATCCTAAATATAACCTAGAGGCAGATACCAGCTGGCTAGTTGGAGGGCTAGAGTTACTAGCTTGTTTGAAGTTATGCAGATTTATTTAATAATTTTTTATTGAAGCGATGTAATCAAAATAATGTACTTTTTACTGCACTATTTTATGTTAGTAATGTAGTGCCTTTAGTGACTAAAAGTGACCAGGTTTTATTTAGTACTGCATAAATGCAATCTACATTTGACTTCCAAAGTTACCACTAATGGTTTAAATAACTTGTTGAACTCTTCTATAGGTTTCTCATACTTCAGTTTTCTAGAGCTTCTCACTGTTCTGCCTAATCATTTCTAAATGAGCATCAGTAGTTTTAAATTCTAGCTCTTATTTTGCTGTTGGTCATCTGTCGTTTTGGGTGGTAGTTTCGGGTGGTAATTTTGTCGTTTTGGGTGGTAATTTTTTTTTGCTTACAGAACTGCATTATTCTATAAAATTGGTTCTGATTAACAGAAATAATATAATAAAGTAGATCTGAGATTTCTCCTACCATGGTATAGAAACATTAGAGAGTGTAGTACGTAGAACTGACAGCTTTTGAATTGATAGTCTATGTAGGCTGCATGTGATAATACAGTAGTGAACAGTGGGACTTAAAAATTTTATTAGTAAAAATTATGTTATTTTATTATCCTTGCATTTATCTACAATTGTCAGATTAACAATTCTTTCATAAATTATGTCCTTGATTTTGCTGTATACTGAAATAAAGATACAACAAAAAAGTTATTCCAGGAAATGTGAGGTTTGTTAAGGTGATAATTTTTTTGAAAACAGGAATGAGGAGAAAAGACACAGTTCCTCACAGTGTTTCTCCTGATTAGATTTTGAGTTCCTTTTCTGTCATGATGAGACTAGACCATATGAGGACTATTTACTTGCAGCATGCTCAAGTTTCTCATAGAGCAGGAAGGCTGCCCACAGTATCTGTCTTAATGTAACTGAATTGCTTGTTTTGGAATTGGCTCGTGTCTGGTCAGCTCTGAATGTAAACAGTGAGCTTTTTTTGGTCTTGGAGAGGCTGTGGACGTGTGCGTACTATACCTGGAAAGAGAAGTTGTTCTGCAGTCTTGTCTCAGAGTTAGAACATTTATAGGGATATAAAATAGTGATCATGGCACACATATAATTGTACAGCAAGAGATGCATGTACATGTTCTTAAAAATCTCCATTTGTATAATCAGAAGTGAAACACTGAACAAAGGTATGTTATACCAAATGTTTGATTGGTTTCAAAAAATACAGAAAATATCTTTAAAGAAGTAGGCTAGATATGTGCCTTTTCACAGAAATAAGAAATGGGTGATGTGGCTTGTTTCATTTTATACCTCTTTCATTCAGGCTCAGCAGTTCAAATACAAAGTCATGTTCCGAGAACCAGACACTTGGTGGAAGTTTAAACCAAAAGAACTTGAAAGGTAAGAATGTAAAGGAAAATTTCATATTAGATTGTATATCTTTCACAGTCTATGAACTATGATTTTAAAAAAGGTATCACTTAGTACAGTGGCTGGTGAAGTAGCAAGATATCAACCAAGATTTTTTGCTATAATAATTAGGTTCTTGAAATTTTTTTTCTACAACATTTACATTTGTGGGATTTTATATGTATTAAGATTTTTTTTTCCTGTCACTTTATTCTAATTACATACAAAATAGATACTATTAGCAACAGATATTATGTAATGGTTTCATGATTGCAGTTCTTGTGCATTTAAGGTACAGTGACTGCTCCTTTCTGTTCCTGAAGTTGCAAAAATGATGTCTGGTTGGGTCTGGTTTGCATTCTGCTGGTCTGTTGCCTTACTTAAACTCAGTGACAGCAGAAACATTTAAAGGCAATTGGCACCTGATGGCTTGAGAGGGACAAACCCCTGTGCATCAGCATTGTTGTTTACCTCTTTAGCAGGACCTTCTACACAGTCATAGAGCCGAAATAGGCAAGACGTAAACCCTATGTAAGTGAATAATAAGGTAGCTAGAAAATTGGCTGGATGCCAGGCTCAAAGTCCAAGAGGAGGCTGGTGTCCCTCTGGGATGAATACTAGGGTCACTGCTATTTAATGTCTTTGTAGCCAAAGGATACAAAATAATAGGTGAATAAGTTTTCCTCAAGGATCAAGGAGTTCTTAGTTTAGCAAAACCAGAGAAGGAAGACTGAATTCAGACATCTTGCATAGCCAGTTTGGTATCCTGCATCATTGTCAGGATCTGATATGGTATGTTTCTGATACTTATTTGAAGAAGATGCATTATTGGTAGAGTTTTAGATTTTACTATTAAGCAAAACATCTTATTGCAGAACAGGGCCACCAGATGGGATGGAGAAGTCAAGTGGAGCAGTGATTTTTCTGAGATGCCCTGTTTGGAATGCCTTAGTGTACTGATAAAGAATTGCTTTTTCACAGCTTTTGCCCTGGCCCCCTGAATTCTCTGGTTAGTCTTACCATAAACTTAGTATCATTAAATTATTATTAAATTACTCTCTTCTCTCATTGTAATGCACAAATCTGAAACGTTTCTTTTTTAATGTTTTCTTTTAATTCATAGGCGAAACATTCATGGTGTATCTAAAGAAAAGATCAAAAGAATGTTGGAACGATATGAACGCTGTCTTAGTGTTAGTTCAATATTGAATTCTTCAGTCCCAGACAAATCAGAAGCTGCTGGCTGGAGTGAAGATCCTTGTCAGGAGGAAAACCACAGGTTAGATTGCTTTACTAGCTTTGTAGTCTCAAGAGAGGCTAAAAATTAAAACTTCATAGCAATGGAAACTGGATAATGCTGTTGAATTATAAAAAGAAATACACTACATAGTTTTCTTAATTTTTAGGAATATCAGGATTTCTAGATTTGAAAACCTCCCAGTATGGCTGTGTGTTACTTTTCAATAAGCCAATCTTGAATGACTTTCTCTTATCTTAGAAATGTCCTGTTGGATGTATGTTGTAGATACAAAACACTTAAAATCTATAAAATGCTTTTCAGAAGAATGTAGTCCCAAATAAGACCAAATTAGTATTACTGAGTCTGTGTTGGTATTAGATGATGTCTTTGTCATAGAAGGTGGATTCTTCGTGCAGTAGTAATGAGCTAGTTACTTGCTCTTGGATAATTTAAACTTGTCTAGATTTATGTTGGTTGTATACATGACTGTTTTGGAGTGGCTAATCTGAATAATGCTGTATGTGCATTATAATAAAAGCATAGGAAATCAGATTTTATTGTAGTTATTATTTCATTTGGGTTTTGCATGCCTAATGTATTTGAAATGAAGTAGGCACTGATAATTAATTGAATGTAGTTGATTGTGAAAAATGGTGTGACAAGAAAAGGCCCATCCTCTCCTAGTTAACTTCTAGGGTTACTTTAGCATTGAGCTGTTGGGAGAGAGCAACAGTATTAAATAAAATCACGTTTACTAGGTTTGCTGATCTGAAGGAGGAAATGTTTGGCAGCAGAGTGCTTCAGTACATAACTGAATGCTGGGAATGGAGGAAAATAGCATTCTGAGGAAGTATTCTTAGCCCCATGCTGAAGTAAAAAAGAGATATTTACCAAAGAAAGTTCTGCTTTTCTTAGTTCCTTCTTTTTTATAAAGGAGTGTTGAGGTTAGGGCGAAGTTGTCATAAATCTGTTTTCCTCTCCCTGGAGTTCTGCAGCTGGATGATTAGTTTCCTAAAAGGTGGTTTCTGGTCTGTAATTTGAAAAATATTAAATAGCCAAGCCAAAGTTAAAAATGAGGACAAGTGCTTAAAGAAGATTTGAAATGGTTTTAACTTTCATTCCCATTTGTCTTTCAGAAAGAGAGAGACACATTCTGATGTAAAGGAAGACAAACCATTTGCTTCTGATGTGCAACCTCTTGAGTTAGCAGAAGATGATAAAACTTTTCCTAGTACTTCTCTAACATCAGAAAATAACTGTGATCCTGAATATTATCAGAAAGAGGAAAAAGAAATGGAAGATAACTCAGTGGAACACAATTCTGAGACCAGCACTGTTCAAGATGACTTGGATGTTTATTTACCAGATCACTTAGAAAAAGAACTGCCCTTGGAGAAGAAAGAAGAAAAGGGAGAAAATCCAGAAAAAAATACTGAAACCAAAATTGATGAGGTTGATGTGGCCATGACTGAAGAGACTGTGTGCTTGCATACAGGGGGACTCGAGGGACACAGTGATAATGACATTCTCAAAGTCCAAACTGAAGGTGAACAATCTGGCGAAATATGTACAGAACCAAAATCAACACAAAGCAGTAACGTAGTAGAACCAAGCAGTTCAGCTTTTGACACGTCAGGAAAACCAGAACTACTAAATTTTCTGGGTGACTGGCCTGTAGAACAAACAATGGGACAGCGAGTCAAAAGAGCTAGAAGACTAGAAAAATCTTCTCTGAAGAATGATAAGGAAGGTAACGCTCCCAGTCAGCAGCATCCTGGATTAGGTAAAGAGCAAGTGGGCCTGCCTGGGACCGATACTGTTGAAAAAGGACCTGAGGAAGAAAATTTAGCCTCTAGCTGTTCCTCTCTTAGTTCGGATAAAGTTACACCAGAATTGCAAATGATAGGACATTGGCCTATCTCGTTAGAACAGAGACAACAAAGATCAAGGAGAATGAGAAAGACAAGTCCAAATCAGTCTGATGAAGGTAGAAATACTGAGGATGACGTTAATAGAAATGCTCTTGAGACTGTAGATGTGCTTCGTGGGACCCCTGTGAACGCTGCAGAGCAACCGGACACACAGAATTTGCATATGCGCCAAGCTGAAAGAGTAGCTAGTGAAACAGTAGGTGAGAAAAAACCCCAGCAAAATAAGAGAATGAGGAAACATCACAAATTAGCCCTCACTTTTACAAACAACAATTTGCCCCATCCCAAAGACGAGGAACACTTGTCTGTGCTTAACACAGCTGAAGAGAAATACGACACATGCTCATGTAGACAGAAAAGTAGCTGTTCACAGACTGAATCACAGGACTTTGCTCTCCTGTGGAGATTAGAAAAGAAAATGCTTTTTCCTGAGACTACCAAAGTATTGTATGGCAGACTAGATGGCTTCAAACCCAAAGATGTAGATAATGCCTCAGATTCTCAGGAAAAAATACCCTATCGAGTTATGTATGATAAAAGTACATTTGTGGAAGAAAGCGAACTTATCAATATTGATGAGTCTGAAAATCTAAATATGCTATGTAAGCTCTTTGAGTCGGTTTCATTTGAAGCTCTGAAAGATCTTTATGAAAGATGTAACAAAGACATAGACTGGGCCACAGGCCTGCTGTTAGACTCTGATGAAAAGTTATGCAAAGATGTTGATGCTGGATGCTTTCAAGTAAGAGAAGCTGAGCCAGTTGTTGCAGACCTCGATTTCAAGGCAAGTACAAACTATAGTGAGAATCTCAAAGACTCCGAACAAACACCACAAATAACTGTGGCTGGTGATATCTCTGAGCCTTCAGAAGACAAGAGCTCATCGCTCAGTATTGCAGAAAGTAGGACTACTGATGCAACTGTGACAGATGCTGATGTGTCTGACTTGATGACTGCTGCCTCATTGAATGATTCGGCAGAACTGAAAAATTCTGGAGATGCAGCCCCTACAACTGACGAGGGTGGCTCAGCAGCAGGTAGCAGTGAGCCATCCTGTTCAGCAAAGCCGAAGGTAGAGTCTGAGAGTCCTGATGAAGATAAGCCATCAGTTTCACAACTTGATGCAGATTTATGTACACCCATGACTTTGCCTCATGGTCCTAACGCAACATCGACCGATTTGAAATTTGAATTAAATAACAAAAGTGACAGTAACCTTTCAGAAAGCAATGCAGAGAATTCCAAAATGACTGCTTCATTACTGGAAATGGATCATGCACCTCTAATGGGTCCTAGAAGCGATAAAGAACTGCAGACAGATAAAGAAACCCAGGGGAGTTCCAGGGAGATATGTTGTAAAGAAGAAATTGGAACTCCAAGTGGGGATGAAACTAAAGCCAAGATGGAAAAACCTACACCAGCATCACGTGCAGCCTTCAATATAGATTGCCTAGAACTACGATTAGCTCCTGAACTGGCACTCCAGTTGAAAGAAATATTTGGCCCTGTTGGTATTGACGCAGGTATGAGCATAATTATATCCATGTTTTTATGAAAAAAATCAGTTTGGGTAAGAAAACCTTTCTTCCTTTGCCTGTCTTTTTTTTTTTTTTTTTTTTTTTTTTTTTTGCGTCATGCTTGATTTTTAGGGAACAGATTTGCACAATTCCTTGTGATACTATTGTTAATCCAAAAAATGGAACTGAATTAAGTGTGGCAAGAAATACAAATGTAGTACTGCTACCTTCTGCCTTTGTCTTTTTGTATATGCGTACGCTTTAAAAGCATAAGAAAATATATTGGCTTATTTGCATTTTGGGCAACAGGCCTTTGAGCTGATATTCAAACTCTGAAGGAATAATAAGATGATGAGGAAGATGCAAATTATGACTGGTTAGGAGAAAAGAAAGCTTTAGGCACCAGTAAAATTGGGGAAGGAGAAGATGAATGGTTTAGAGAGAAGATAAAGCGCGGCTGTACTTCAAAGATGAAAACAGACTAGTCTGCTGAGACTTCATCATAGTATGATGAAGGAAGCCATAAGCAGCTTGAACACGTCACAAAAGTTAAAGACTGATCGAAAAGGGAAGAAAAGAATACACATGTAATATATAGCTTGTTTGTTTTTTTTTTTTTTTTTTTTTTTTATTTTTTTTTCTCTTTTCTCCTGAAGATTAGTTGATATGAAACTCTGGATACCTGACTTATTGGTGGGTTTGACTGCTGGCCTCTTTGCCTTTCATGCCTACCTCCTCCAAAAAAATGTTTGATTTTGATAGCAGAAGGTGTTTTATTGTGTCTGAAATATGCCCTGCCTTTTTATTTGATACATATGCACTTATTGCCCTTTTATTTTTGAAAGGGTGAGAAATAGTATCAGATCTTTTATGGAGAAGATGTATCATTATGATACCACGAGAATTCCTGCCGTTTTCTGTAGAGGTAGAGGGAATACTTGGAGTTTGCCTCTCTGAGTTTGTGTTGGAAAGGAGGGATGTGACTGTTGTTGGGCAGTGGCAAGTATATTGTGTTACATAAAAGCAGTTGCCTGTGGAATAGGGGGAATCACAGTTTCACAAGTGAAACTCTGCTTGTAAATTAATAGTGGCTTTGCTCTAATTCTAGAAGGTTCTGGAAAAAAAAAAGAAGGAAAAAGGCAGTTGTTCAGGTAGTCGTATTTCAATATTCAATACAATTAATGTTAAATTGTTTGTTCCTACCCTTTCATAGTTTTTGAGCACCAGATAATGAATTCGGTGTGGAATGCTTTTATTTCAACTTGGCAGTTGCTGAAGCTTTTTTCAGGCATGACAGTTTGTGCAGAATCTCTAGAATTCAAATTAATAAGTCTAGGCTACTGCACTTTAATTGCTTTTTTATAGAATGTTTTAATGAATATCTTTTCTTTCTTCCATAAGGATCACTAACTGGTGAGGACTGTGTGGTTCATATTGATCTGAATTTGGCAAGAGTGATTCATGAAAAATGGAAAGAATCTATTCTGGTTAGTAGATTTCTTGCTTATGACATGGTACGACACACTTGTGCTTTGTCAGACCATTTGTCTCCTTATGTGCTCATCTAAATGTGTATGATAGAAGTATCTTTGTGAGAATAATGATAAAATATAATAGTAGTTTGTAACATTTGTGATGGGTATCAGCATGTCATAATCATCAGCGCAGTTAAAAGACAATTCAAGGGATGAAGAGAATGCATCTCATTAATCCCTCATCACAAAACCAAGATTCTTAAAAAAGAAGGATCATAATGCATAATTTCTCCATGAGATTGACCAAAAGTTCTAGCGGACAAAAATTATTACCGGATTTTTGACATGTAAGAAGAATTCTTTGATGAATAATTATGTGTACGAAACATCTCCATGTATATTAATTAAGAAAAGTTCCTTCGTAGCATTATAAAACTCATAATGCTTTTTGGGAAAATTTGTTTGGTTTATTTAATTAAGGTTGTGAAATCTTAGCAGTGGGGCATGTTTCTCCAATTTGATGTGTTTTCAGAAAGATAGTTCTATCTTTTGAACTTCACTTTGAAATTATTTTTCTTAAATATATTTCTTTTAAAATATCCAATCCTTGAGAAATACCGAGAGACGTTATTTTGAAGCTGGTTTACTTAGAAGCTAACACTTGCTAAGTTTCATTGCAAAATTTATAGCTTACATTCATGGTTTTACTATTTTTATTTAGAAGCGTCAGAGGACAGATGAATCATGTAAGTTGTCTGCAGAAGGTATGTTGTGTATTTCTGTTAATTACAAAAATACTTAATTCTCATTATAAAAATACTTAAATCTTTGAAACTTCAGTAATGTTGCCAGTATTCTGTCTATTTAAAAATGAGGGATTCATTTATTAAGATAAACTTCTACTAATTGCCCTTGGTTACATTTACCACTTTCTTACAGAGGTGTGGAGTTAATTAAAAATAAGTTAATTATAAGTAGAATCACTAGTCCCAGGTAGATGCAAGCAAAAAGCTTATAATTTTGTGTACTTCAGAGAGCTTAAAGAGAAGCTCTGGCTGGATCAAAGAGCTGTTTGGTGGGATTTCTGTAATCTCTATGGCAAGAAAAAGCGTGGACAGAAAATTACCAACAGAACAAGATTTCTGCAGGTGGGGGAAGGAGGTCAGGAATACAACATTCACGTGTTGTTATCAGAGGAATTGATTGTAGCAGGAGGACATATGTCCTTGTTCAAAAAGTGTTAAAATCTCAAGCAATCTAGTTTTCATTCAACTTCCAGAAGTTTTTCTGTGGCAGAAGGCCACTGATCTTACAGGGGACCTGGGTGAAGACTTGGATTGCAGTGTGGGTGCAAACGCTCCTCTCCAATGGCCAAACCAGTGCTGTTAGGGTTAACTTGTAGAAGTGTAAAACCAGATTGTTAAGCATCTGTCCTTAAATTGCAGAGGAAAGGGAGGTATACATGTAAATACATGAGTTGATAATTTTCTTATAAAATAAACCTCCCCACTTAATGTGCAAGATAGTTTACAGCTGTAAGATATGTCTTGGCACTTGAAAATTTGGCGAGAGAGTCTGGTTTTGCTTTTGACTTATAAATTAGATAAAGATGATCACACAGTCTTTGGAAAATAGAAGTGAGGAAGGTGAAAACAATGTGTTGTTTTCTGTTTTAGCATCAATAATATCGTTTTAGCAAAACAAAACATCTAGGTTGAAAAACTTAATTATTTTGGCTTTGCTTGTATAAATAGGCTAATAATTGTTTTATTTGTCATCTTATTTTTATTGCTTTTGAAGGTCCTCCTGTGATTCAACAGATAGATACAGATGACTCAGAAATGCTGTTATCTCAGAATGCAGACAGTAAAATACAGAAGAAAAAAATGGGCTGGGTTTCAGGCTCATCTAATGACATACAGACTAAAAAACCAGCAACGTCAGATGTTTTTCCTTTTATGGATCACTGGAATGCTCAGATTCAGAAAGTTTCTCTCAGACAAATAATTTCTGAAGAAATAGCTATGCAGGAGAAACAGGACCTGGTATGGATAGCACCATTTTTTTATTTAATGCTGTTTAAATTCATTACTATTAATGAAGCAGAATATGTCTTATCTGGTGACTCATCTTTGTGCTGCTGATTACACCCTGAATTCGTGCCACAAATGCATGCCAGTTAGTACTGTTTATTACTGTGATACAGGAGTTTGATTGTAGTAGATGTTTCAGTTTGAAAAATATAAATCCCATTTTAAAAAGTAATATTTTGATTGTTTCACAAACAGATCACGGCGCATTTCACTATACAGGTTAGCATTTGTGTTTGGCTGAATTGTTTTTTGATTGCTCATCTAAAAACAAAGATCAGTGTGACTACCCACACTTTTTGTTGCAAAAGTGATATCAGAAAAAGTTCTTAATTAGTTCCATGCCTTGTTTGTTTAGAAGTGGATTGAATTGATTTTTATATTTTTTTTGTAAGGAGAACCCACAACATTCCGAACAAATGAGACATTGAAAGAAGTACTCAAGGTTAATCTCAAACAGGATTCTGTACCCACTTGTCAGAAAATAGTAATTTTTTAAAAAGACTTTTATTAATTCTGTATCTTCCACACAGCATACCCTGTCTGGTTGGCGTGTGCGTAATGCTGCCCTCTGCTGCCCGGCAGTTGTTCAGAATGGGCGTTTTTATTTGTAATTGTTTCTCATAAGTAGCTGTCCTAAAAAAGAGGAACTTTGTTTCTACTGGTATAGAAAGTTGGATGGATTAGCTTGTACTTTAAAAGAATGGCTTGTGGATTCTTTCTTTGAACTGCATGTATGTGGCTTATTGATAATAACATCTGTGATATCCGCAGCTTTATTTTCAGTGTGGATTCATGGAGCTTGGCTTTGTTTTGACCACTTCCTTTTTTTTTTTTTTTTTTTTTTTTTTTTTGACAGGCTCTTTTAATACTTAAATCTATCCAAACTATTTCCTTTTTTTTTTTTTTTTTTTTTTTTTTTTTAAATCTGAGTATTGGAATGATTACTCTGATTTATTCTGGGCTGTAATTATGTTTTCTTCTCAGCATGACTTCACAAATATGAATATTTATTACAGTATAGCCTCAGATACAACAAAACAAAATTGTTTATGCTGTTTAATAATAAAATGTTGTTTCAACCCCAGGCCCTCAATATAGAGAGCTGGACTTTGCACAAGCTTAGCATTGGACTAGATAGATTAGCAAAGTTCCTCCTAAAAATCCTCATTTAGCTTTGTCCAAGTTAGGAGGAAGCTCCAGCTGAGTCACTTCAAATGACTGGAGAGGTGTATGACACAACTCACTCACTTCATTCTCATCAAATCAGTGTGGCAGGCTGATACTGGCATGTTGTCATTGCTGTGGGTGCACACCTACTGAATATATATATATATATATTTTAAATCTTAACAAATAACAGTAAAGTTGGATTGGCTTTGCTGTTATTATATCTTGTTCTAATCAAGAACTGGTAATATTTTTCCTTTGTCTTCTGGGTAGAATCGTGTTCCTTCTATGGCTAGAAAAGACTGTGCTGCTAAACTAAAGGAGAAGCAACTTTTTGAGATGTTTCCAACTATCAATCAAAATTTCTTAATGGATGTCTTCAGGGACAACAAGTAAGAAATCTTTAAAGTTATTTGTAAAAATGATACTCGGTTACACTCAATAGTGGACAGTTACGGTCTTAAATATTTAGAGTTAAGATACTGGTAAAGAATGGCTTTTTCCAAACCAGAACACTTTTCGTAGATCTAAATAAAGGCAAAACCAGCTGGTCTTAAAAGCAAAAAGGGCATAAAAACTCTATGCGTAGATTTGTTTCTTTTTGGGGGGAGTAGACAGTTCCTTTCACTGGGAGAAGAATGTCTCTGGCTATTGCCCTCTGACTGACTGTCAGTGGAGCTGCCTGTTTGCTCTAGAGCTGAGGTTTAAATCAAGTGGGAGAAATTAGTGGGAGCGGTAATAGTGGGTTCCCAGAAAATGGCATCCACCCAGGAGGAAAACTGCTGTTGCCTGGTGTTAGCTGCCAGGACTCTCCTGGTTACTACAGCAGCTTCTGGAGGAATGAGCCATCTCTCCATCTCTTCCTGCTGACATTCTCTTTTCTGCGCTGTATTTCTGTGCTACGTGGCGCCTTTCTTAAATCCAAGTTCCTGAGAATTTAAGTTTTTTTCAAGAGAAACTTCTTTTATCATCCTTGGCCAACTGAATGTCTGTCTGTACATATGGGTTGGCATGCCTACTTGTCAGTCTTTCTGCTTGTCCAGGTTGTTATCAAAACCTTTCCTTGTGGGATGTTTAAAATGCATCCTTCATCCATGTCTATAGCTCGAACATTTCACCATCCCTTGTTTTTCACATTCTAATTTTTCTTCAGTGTTGTCTTTCCCAAAATCTGTCTTTACTTTTGATCAGTCTTCCTCTTGTCTGCCTACTGAACAGCAAGAAGAATAAAGAAGAAAAAGGGCTTATTAAAAATCTGATGATCCTATTCCTATTTAATTAAATTTAATAACAAATCCTGACTGGAAATACAAGGATTTTCCTGCATAACAGTTTAAGAAAACTGAGCTAGTTTTAAACTAGTTTGTACTATCTAATCCTGACCAGAGAAGATTTAAGATGAAGTAACTTATCCAGCCCAAAAAGCAGTGTGTACTTCTAAACTAATGTCTGTTTGATTAAGGTAGGATGCAATTTACTTCAGTATTTAATTGTCCTTTCAATATTCAAGTGCTCCTCAATTATGTTTCGGTCAACCAAGACTGCATGTGTCTTGATGCCAGTGATGCAGTACAGTGAGTCTGCAAGGCTTTTTGTATAAGGTGGAAAATTCCATTCTAGTGCTTTATTTCCATTGTCATCTATTTCTGCAAAACAGTATCAAGGTTTGTAATATGTATTTTAATAAATGTAGCAGCTATTAATGTATTTGTAAAGTCACAGATTTTACTTATCCTTTACAGCTACTCTTTAGAACAAACCGAACAGTTTCTGAACTGTGTTCTGGAGGCAGATCCTGTAAAAACAGTTATAGCTCAAGAAGGTGCTCAGCAAAATGAAATTGTTTCTTCCTACAGCGCTGCAAAGAACCGAGAGAAGAAGGTATTTTTAATTTTTTTTTTAAATAGTAGTTACAAACGTATCCAAAGCTACCCATAGCTTTGGATATCCAAGCTACACCCTACAATGCGTACTTAGCTTCAACATTGCAAATTCCTACAGGCAAAAAAAAGTAAGGAAGAGGACGATCCTTTGAGTGAAGCATTTCAAGATTTTGAGTATCCACAATACGATGATCTAAGAGCAGAAGCTTTTTGTCACCAGCAAAAGAGACAGGAATGTTTGAAAAAGGCTGGGGAGGCCTATCGCATGGGTATGAAGCCTGTGGCAGCATTTTATGCACATCAGGTAAATGTAAATATTGTACTTTTTGCCTGAATTTAGAGAGGTACTTAAATACTGCATTGGAAGTGATAAGAAAAACATTGTGCCTTCTAGAGTTGATAAATTTGCTCAATTGCTGTTCCCCGTGTAAGTGTTATATTGAGAATCACCTTACAAGTAAACTCCCTTTCACGAGTAATGATACTGATAGAGGAAGCTAATGTAACCAGATTCGGTGCGAGACCTCAGGAAAGATGGTATTTAGTGCTTAGTCACACGTGCTCGTTTTCTCATCGATGCCTCTCTCACATCCAGATACTTGTAAGCACCAAGATCTGTGTCCATGTGGTCTGGTCAGGTTCACCCATGTGTGACACGGACTGCAGCAAACATCAGTTTTTGAATCTTCCATATGGGTTCCTCTTAATTGGCAATGATCTGGTTTTAGACATGTCTTTTGTACTTTAAAGAGTCAGATAGGTATTAAGATGCAATCTTTGCCCTCAGAATCTTGCTTGCTTCATCCTCCATAAATCTTGGGCGAGATTGCTGCCTGCTGTCTTTGCTTCCTCATTCTGACCATCTTTATGGCGACAGTCCACAGGTTGGGATAAACATGGTGTGTTATGCCATGCCTTTTGCCATCCAGGTTTTGGAGTTTAGATCTGCTCCTGATCAGTCTTGTGCACTCTGGTTTTGGAGCACAGGCTCTCTGGTCTTGATCCAAGCACATTTCTCGATATATACCAGTTGGTTACTGTTGATCATGTTCCTGATTATACGTATCAACTGTTCTTGTAATTGTTCCTTTACATTGGTTTCTCGGTGTCTTCACGTGAGACCCTTCCATTCACACTTCGTTCAGACAGCTCTTAAAAATTCCATTACAAATATCTTCAAAATATCTTCAAAGACTGTCGCTTTTCCCATATAAAAATTCGGTAAGAATTCACATTATAGAAACATTTAATCCTAAATTATGAATTGCATTATGACGGACCAAAAAATGTAATAATGGATCACTTGAATTTGCTTATTATCTTAAAGTTTTCAGGCAGTTGGTATAACTTATCATTCTAAATGTTTATGTGCATGTAGGAAATATTGATTATTGGCCTTTATAATGAACTCTTTATGTTCTTGGTTTGTATATTCTTGAAGTTTGAAGAGATTCTTAACAAAGGTCTGCATGATTTTAAATAGAAACGTAATTTCATGTGCAGTCTTTTGTTTTTAGCCATAATGAGAAGTACGAATTGGAAATTCATTATGTATTTTCTTTTAGGTAGTAAAATGGCAAGCTAAGCTACCTTTATTTATGAAAAATACTTTAAGCTTGATGGCCTTAGCCTATCTTGGGAATCCTCTGCAAGTGAGAGTTATGGGGTTGGTGTCTCTGCTCTGACATTAATGCACTTCAGATGATCCATTTTAAGAAAGTGTAAGACAGACTGTCGCTTCTGTTCTTTTGAGCCCCTGTCAGTCCAACACCTGGAGTTCAGTTTTCCATTCCTTTTCAGACTGTGCCCACAGATATGAACACTGCAAGGTTCATGGGAAATAGTGGGTAGTTGTTCACTGTGTAATGTGAATAGTCCTAATTCCGATAGAGACTGTATTTGACCTTATCGGTCACAAAAAATCTGTCAAAAACATTAGGGGAGGTAATGGGCAACTATTTTAAAAAAAAAAAGGAAAAAAGTAAACGTTTGCCCTTGGCTTGCCTGATTTTTAGGAAATGCGTTCAGAAGAATTAACCTTGGCTGTAACACTCAGCAGGTTTTTCCTGGGCTGTTGGGCAGTTTCTCTGACATTGTTTCATTAAATTTTTAGCGAAATACTTTCAGAAAGTAGAATTCTATTGTTAGGATAATAAATCTGAAAATTGGCATGGAGTGTAATTTTTTTAGTTTATGTAAAGACCGTATGGTTTTGTGCCTTTTCTGGCTTTTTTTCCTTCCTTGTAAGGCTTTTGTTATAATTTCTGCTTTGTGCCAGCTTTGAATAGTTTCTTAAGAACAGATTTCATGAAATCTCCTTGTGAGTAGGTCTCACTGAGCCTCTTCCAGAAGTTCTGTTGCGAGTATAAATTTTACTGCTTCAAACTGTGAGCTAAAAGCACCCTGCCAGTACTGTCATTTTGTACCCAACGACCAGCGTGGAGCTTAGATTATGTCTCAGTGTGTAATAGTTCCTGTGCTTATGAATAAAGGGTCGTCTTCATGAGCAGAAGATGAAAGAAGCCAACCATGCTGCTGCTGTGCAAATCTTTGAGAAAGTAAATACTTCCTTGCTCCCTATGAATGTGTTGGATCTGCATGGTCTCCATGTGGATGAAGCTGTGAATCACTTGTCCAGAGTGCTGCAGGAAAAAAGTGAAGGTAGGAATAAACAAGTTGTTCCTGCCCCCTAAAAGTTATTCTCCTCATTTTCTGCTAAAAATATATATGAGAATATAGGGAATTAATGTAATTTTATAACAAGTAAAACCAACTGGCTTTTGTGTTGTTTTATTTTCTAAGTTCCCTCAAGGAATTGTTTTCCTTTGATGTGGCAATGATCCTTTTTGTTCCCTGTCCGTGTGTCCCTGTCCGTGTGTCCCTGTCCGTGTGTCCCTGTCCGTGTGTCCCTGTCCGGTCCTCCCTGCTGCTTTGTACATATTCCTTTTCCTTCTGTTTTACTTTTTTTTTTTTTTTTTTTTTTTAAATTGAAGATTTGATCTATCCTTCCTGGCATTTTTAACAGAGGTGGCAATGCAAATGTTTGTGTCGTGTTTATATTGCTTTGTCAGAGCTATGTTACTTATTTAATCTTTAAAGAAAAATCATTACGTTGGTATTCTAACCATGGTGATTACCTCGTCTTCAGCTTTTACATGAAAGTGTGTGATTTGAGCTGTCTTTCAGTAACTTCTGTATCGATTTGTCAGCAGGATCTCTTGAGATCGGAATACTGCTGCTTCCATAAATGTCATTTTGTGCAGTTTTGCTTGAGGGCTTGTTTTTTCTCCCAGTGGAGCGTTCAAGTACTTTATGAGTGTTCTTGCTGTAAAAAGATACATTTTCTGCATTATTGGTTTACCCTATAAATTTAAACACACTGGGAATGCTTTTATAAGAAAAATTTCTTATGCAAGGTACCACTGCACAAACCCAGTTTTTTGAAACAGCTACTCCTTGCAGTAGAAACAAAAGTGCTCGTTGGGGCCTTAATCCTTTTCTTTCAATATACATCAGACATAATTGCATTATCTTGTGCTATTCCTAAAAGGACATTTGTATAGTTTAAGGTGTAAACAAATGCTTTTTAGAGCTAAATTTCCTGAGCTGCACTAGAATGATGGTAGGGACCCGCTTTTCAGTCCATTCACCTAAATCTAAAAAAAAATTAAAAAAAAAATCTATTTCAGTGTGGGGAAAAGGGATCAATACCAGGCACTAAGCACTGGCAGAATTAACAGTGAACTAATATAAAACCCAAATAAAGTTAAGCAAGAGAGGGAGGCTAGTTGAGGAAAAACATCATGTGAACTGATAATCTTGAACTGACAAATCTTAGCTTGTTGTGTGAATCCAGTTTAATTTATATTTTTCGTCTTTTTCAAACTCTTCATCAATTTAGGTTGCTGTTACCTCTGGTAGAAGAGTAATTTCTTTTGTTATCAGGGCTAGATGCCCTAATAAAGCTCGTGTGATGTGCTGATCTGTTGATTCGCGTGCTCTATCATAGCAGACATTAGTCAAAATAAGTGTGACTTAAATGTCAAAAACTGTGTGGTTTTGTATTTTCTTCCTTCTGCCTTTCTTTACCCAATAAAATGTTATTTCTCTAGTCACGCTAATTTAAGATAAAATGTAAAACAATAGAGAGAAGTGTCACTTAAAAATTAGCTAAATCACACCCACTTCTTTTAATTTTGCCATTTTAATTTACATCACAGGATGGGAATTCCAAGCAAAGATGAAGTGATAGAAACAGCAAAGCTGCTATGAAATGAGAAGGAATTTCATGATCTCAACATGCATACTGAAAGCAATCCAGATTTAAAAAGCTTGCCTATGCTTTTTTTTTTTTCCAGAATATCTGGGAAAAATGGCTACGTTTATGTAAAAGGTACTTAGCCAGCATAGGAAAGCGGAGTTGTAAGTCAGTAGTGAGAGTTTTCAGAAGAAGGGATGGCCAGGATATAACTGAGTGCCAAGTCCCTGCTGAGGGAAGGGTTTAACCGTTACAATCCCTGCTGTTACAGAGTACCAGCAGGCCGGCGGTAAACCATATCTCTGTGTTATCACGGGAAGAGGAAGCCATAGTCAGGGAGGAGTTGCTCGCATCAGACCAGCAGCTATCAGATACCTCACAAGCCACAACTTCAGGTGAGTTTAGATTTTTGTTGCTGATACATTTTTTTTTTTTTTCTTAACCCACATTTAACTAACTGAAAATTGAAGTTAGTTTTCGAATACTGTTAAACTACTAAACAGATGAAGGCAGGTCTGCTGTTTCATAAATCCAGTGCAATTGTGTGACACAAAACCATCTTATGCGGGGCACCCGTTACATATTAGATCCTTTCCTCTGAGATAGATGAAAACATCATGAATTAAACTTCTCTATCATAGTTTAATTACATATTTCCATTCAAGGTTGTTAGCTTTACTGCAAAAAGTTGTTAATCCTGCTTTTTCTAGGTCTCCAATACCTGCTTTAGTGCTCAGCTTCTTATATGGGACAGCAATGTAGCAAGTCTGGGCTGGCATCAGTGTGTTTGCTGCTTTTTCTTTACAGGCGTGTATGGAGCTGACTGTGAAGGTGGGACTCGGAAATAGCAAAGGCTTTCCTATTTCCTTCTTACTTTCTACGGAAGACAAGGGAGAAAATCTGTTTGGGAAAAAAGAGGGAATAAAAGGGGAGCAGGAAAAGAGGAACAGACTGAATATAACCAAGAATATTGGGCAGCATTTTTGGGGTTTTCTAAAAAAACTTCCTCTTAGTTCCTGCTGTTTCCAGCTCTTCACCTCTCCAGACCCTGTAAAATCCTCCTTCACTGTCACATCTAGAGGACACGATGCTGATTTCCTGACTCTCACAGGCACACGCACTTGACTGAGCGCCTTATCGCTTTCCATATGTTTGATGAGGGCTGAAGGAGATGGCATTGCACGTAGCTTTCATGTTGAAGCTTCATCTTTTCTCGTTTCACAGGTTCACAGAAATAAAACCAGGCTGCCTGAAAGTCATGCTGAATTGAAGGGTTGTCGAGAAGAACAGAGGAATATAGAGACTGAGGTGTGAGATTACAGCTAAAAACTTTTCAAACAACTGCAGTAGTATTTTGTAATCTGTTTTAAAGGATGATATTTTGTTAGAAATGGTCTCAATTTAGAGCAAGTGGTTTTGTCAGTATGTTTCCAAGAAAATGCTTTTTGTGGAATGGATCCTTTTTTGAACCTGCAAAAAGAAGACGCAGCATTTGAAGTCTCAGAAATGCATATTAAGAATTCTGCTGAGCAGTATATGCTGTTTTAAAGGGAAGTTAAGGTACAATTTTTAAATATAACTGTCTTCTCAGCGTACCCAGTATATGTCTTTTGACCCTCACACATTTTAACTGCTGTGGATTCTATGCTTCTAAATTGTAATACCTTGTACAAAGTTATTTTGTGATTCAGAACTTTGTGCTAAACCCTTCAGAAGAGCACAAGGGAGATGGGAACATGGCAACTATGGATATTTCAAATCCAGTTACAGCTGAGTGCTAAATATTTCCAGGTTTCTTCAAAAGTCTGATGTAGTCTTTTTTTGGTGGTGGTTTTGTGATGGGTTGAGCAGTTCTATCATCATTATTCTATTCTAAACTTCTCCTGATAACAGTGGAAGTTGTATATAAGGGACTGTGCGTTAAGACCAGCTGTGTGTTTGGTAATTCTGCAGGCTTACTGTGATCTATTAAAGTGAAAAATACAACACTATAGTTCAGTCTTTACTTACACATAGCTCATACTGTAATTTTGCAGGAAATGCCCGTACTTTTTTTCAATACTTACTCGATTAAAAGTGTTTCTTTCTCTATGGCTTTTTAAATGAAGCAAAGTGAGTTCTGTTTCACTTTATAGGTGTCTGATAGTGATGTGTCTTCATTCTGTCTGTATTAAATTTGGTGATGTTCTTGTAGAAAATATGATTGTCTGTGAGACATTTAAAATGTATTTTTAACATCAGAGTGAATGCTAATACTACAGTAGTAATTGCCGAACTGGAAAGTCTGGGAGTGCAAAAGTTACTCTGGTGGTGGTGGTGTTGCATCAGCATCTAGAAATACCTGTGTAAAAACCAAACCAACAAAAACCCCCAAACAACCCCCCCACCCACCTCCCAGAAATATAAACATCTTTACTTTGGCAAGTACTTCCAGTAAGCTATCAGAACATTTTTTTAATAGAAATATCTTCTGCAATGCATTACTACTTTTATTTACATCTTTGCTTCTTGAAAGGCGTAAAAATTTTTGTTGTAAGGCTTTTTCAGAACAGGTATCAGTTCTCTGTTAGGAATAATGTTAATAGGTTAAGGATTAATGGGAGGGGGTTTTTCTTTCATTTTAAAACACTTTTGCAGTAAATTTTACCCAGGAATTACATGCACATAGAATTTGTGTATGAATCCATATGTGTGTGCAAGTTCTGCCATTTGTGTGCATGGGTAGTAATAAGCAAGGAACTTCTGTGAGAAAAGCTGTGCACAGAAATAGGTTTCACTTGAAAATGTGTCTGTGTAAGTTGCTGACAAACTGAAAGACATGATGTCTCCTGAATATCCATATTTACTGTAATATATACACAGTGAATGCAATGTACGGTAGACTTAAAAATGAGTTTGTCATGCTTCAACAGATACAGCAATCTTTTCATGGTGATTTCAAGCGGAAGAATAGCTTGAACAATATTTAATCAAAAGGACTCTTACTGGAATAACAGACTGTCATAATAAGTTTTATATTTTTTTTGTAGGTACTTAGTTCATTTGAATTGTGTCTCTTCTCTTTTTTCTTTCTCTCTGGGCTGCTCTGGTAACCAGTGGGTGAAACACAAAAGATCTGTGCTCCCCAAACAGCACTAGGAGAGTGTCCTGTGTGGTGAAGGCCATGCTCCATCCTCTGTGACAATGCCTACAATAGACTGAGATGTTATTTAGGCACTTGGACTTGAGACGATCAGCTGTGCAGGGTGACAGATGCTAGGGTTGCCTCAGCAGAGCTAGGATCTTTCTTTTGGACGAAGGAACTCCTTTCTGCTCCTGAGCAGGATTTCCTTAGTGCTGCTGTTTATAACCAATGGAGGGGTAGCTTTTTAAAACGTTGTCCCAGGTGGCTGAGTTCCCCAGCAAAGGGCCCAGTGTATGCTCAGAAGTGTTGCACATTGAGCTGCTGGGTGGCCAAATCCTACAGAGCTGTGCTTGTAAACAGGGAAGCTTACAAGGTTGTTCTGGGAGGTGGCCTGATTCACTCAGCATGTTCACACCCTTCCCATCATGGACAAACACAGCTTAGATTTCAGTTCAAAAGACAAGCAGAAAAAGTTATGGTCTTGCCCCATCTGTTCATCATAATCTAGTTGTTGACAAGTTTACCCTGGAGATAAGAAACACAGCTTTTTTTCTTCTTCTGGCTTAGCAAGGGGATGATGATTGCACTTGACTCAAATTTCCCCAGAAAATGCTCTGACCAGTGGGCTCAGGGGCCTCTTTCAAAATCGCCACTTCAAGATAGAAATGCAAGACCAAGGGGACAAAAGAGATGAAGGAATAAAAAGTACATAAACGATCTCTGGAAAAGGGTTAGGACTTGTCAGAAGTGAGCAGAAAATCAGTGCACAGAGAGAAAGTAGACTTTTATTGGTAAGGGTCTCCATGCCTTCAGCTACTTGCCAAATGGTCCAGAAAAAAAATCCACTGGACTTCTTGTATTTCTTTGATTGTTTTTATAATGTATAGTGGGATTAATCATATCAAATATAATTGTTTCAAAATGGTATTTCAAAGTAGGTTGCACGTTAGAATTTCCATCTTCTCTGATGTTTTTTGCAGTTACATCAGTGAGAATCCTGAGGTATCTTGTAAATTCTGTATCATCATATACTTTTGATTAAAGCAGTGCTTAGCAGTATTGCCATCAGCACTCTGAATAATGTGTGACAAAATACCTATTTTGTGTACTACTTTTTATTCTATTCTTCAACAGCATGTGGTTGTGATGACTGGTAGCCTTTAATATGTGACTTTTGCTTGCTTTTTTGCAAAACATTTTAACATTTAACCCAATTTTTAATTTAGGAAAACTATGTTTCTTTTTAATACAAAATGTAATGCTTGTGCAAGCATTGATGGATGTTCTTACAGTAAAGAACAAAAAACGGCCCAGAGGTGCAATGAAGAACGTTATTCACCTGAGTAATGTGGGTGTTTAAAAATATATTTCTGCTGATTGTGAAAGTAGTAAGGCAAAAGTGATTTTTTTTTTTTTAAATATTTCAAGATACCTTGGTAACATTTTAATGACTTTGGTTTTTGCTTTTAATAGTACGTGGTACGGTTTTATTTAAACTTAATGTCTTTATAGGCCTGTTGAAGGACACCTCAGGCAAAGATTAACTGGCATTTCTTTGTGGCTGTTGGAGACACGTTGTGACTTGGGGAATCCCCATTTAAGCAATGTCCAGATGCTCTAGTTGTAACCTAGAACTTCACTAGAACATCTGGAACCGTGACTGTTGTGAGAATGTGCAATGTCAGGGAAGATCTTTACATGCTTACCACAGCATGTATTCTAGAAGGTTTAACTTGAGGAGGTGAAATGTAAGCAAATAGTTACTTAATCTTGCCACAAAATGTGGTGGGTAGACAAGAGAATAGTTTCATTGCTGATAAGGGCAAAGAAGGATTGTCATAAATGTAATATGAGAAATTATACATAGACTTTATGTTACTGCTTATGTCTTCAAATGCAATTCACATTTCCAGTGTAACGTTGCCCTCTTCGCAGAGCTGAGAGGATGTGAACATTGGAACAGAGGAGTTCATTGACTTAGCACAATTTCAAGTACCATGTTCTCTTTAAAAAAACAAAACAAAACACCAAACAACACACAAAACCCAACCAAAGCCCAACTGTTCATGCTATTTCAGCTACATGAACTGTGTAGAGGATTAAATGACTGTATGTGAATATGCATGTGAAAAGACCTCGTATTGCAGCTACCAGTTGTAAAAGCTGTTAGGACCAGTACATTGGAAGATATTAATGTCTATTTTTAAATTAAAATTAAAAAAAATGATTTTTTTATTTGTATAAAGTTGTAATTTTGCTGTTAACTATAACTTTCATTTTTTACTGAAATACAGTTTTGTAATTTGCATTTAAAATTTCTAATGTGAAAAGGAATTTACAAAATCTAGTTTAATAAAGGATTTTTGCCACAAGTATAGCCTTCTGTCTTTCCTTGGAAGACTGCATTTCAGCTTGTATCAAATTTTGTCAAATAGAAGTCCTGGAGTTGTGCATGAAAGCCACTTGCCTTGACTTGAGGATACCATCTGTAGGGAGGCGAAGCAACCATCTGCAGGCGTAAAAAGGAACAGATTTGTGGCCTGATTTTAAGTGTTGTGAGTAGGAGCTGAATGCTCACATTACAGAAAAGAAGGGTCATCATTTCAGATTTTTTTTTTTTGGCCTGAAGTAACTGAAGAGAAGCTGTTCAGGCCTGGCTTATTTTGTGTGTGAGTGAGGGCAATGGTGTATGTCATGGGGAGAGGCAGGTGTGGCCACTGAAAAGATGAGAGGAGGTAGGGAGGTGATCTGGATAGACCTCATTTAGCAAGACCCCTTAGGTCAGGGGCAGGGACAGGTCAGATCCTGAGGAAGCACAATTAACTGTAACGTGGATTTAGAGCTAGTCAGGCTGGCTTTTCCCAAGCCTGCTTTGTGCAGATATTCCTGTGTCATGTTCCTGGAAGCATGGAAAGACACCTGAGAGCAAAGAGCTGGCCAGAGTCTGGCCTGGTTTATTAGCTCAGGTTGAGGACAACTGGCGTTGACCTGAGTTAACTCCTGCAGAGTCATTCCTATGACTTCATTGCCTTGGAGCTTGGATGGACTGCTGAAACAAGCCAGGTTTGTACATTTGCACAGCAAAGCTGTAGCTAATGAGGCTTTGGGAACACATGAAAGCTTGGCAGATGCTGGCTTGGATCTGATAGGGCTGACTGTGAGCCACAGCTACTCGACCATAGAATCAGTGAATGTCTGGTCGGTTGTGTGCTCCTTACTTGAAGGACTCCCTGCTCTGGCAGTGTGGCTCAAGGTCCAGCTTGGGGATTAGTCTCTCAAATTGTCACATTTGAAAGTGGAGGTATTGCTTCTGGACTTGTCTCCTCTCTGGAGGCAGGGCAGCAGTTCAATGGGGAGGCCCAGCTTGACTTAAACGGTCCATCCAGATTCACCAGCTTCTGTTTCAGTTCATGCCCTTCTTTCCCCTGTGTGCAAGGCTAGCTCTGAGCTCCTCTCTGCTCCCAGCTGGGAGTTTGCTCCTCAATGGCACTCTGGGGATTTTTGAGAGTCTTTCTCCCTGTTTAAATATGAGAAGTGGAATATTTCAGTTTGCCCTTGCTTATGGAAATGATTTGAACTTTAAGGCTGAAAATTGAAAAGTGGCAAAATAAAGATAGTGCTTGAGGCAAAGAGAAATTTTCAGCCCACCTCGTTGCAGTATAATGAGATGTTGTGTCTGCTGGTGGAATGCATCGGGTGGCTTGACAATAGGTGGTGCCCTTGCTAATGGCATAGAGTGATGGTGGCAGCAGCTTTCACGGCTTGCCCTTGCCAGAGCTGTTGTTTCTCTGTATGATGTGCACTAAAGGATGTAACTACACATCACGTGCTGCTCGTTTCTTCCTCCGAGGGAGAATACTGTATTCGGAGTATTGTTTTGGTGACTTTTTTTTTCTTCTTTTCAGATGGGTGGGGTAGAGTTTGTTTTTGTCCTGGTTTGAGGTAAAACAGAACCAACCTTCTGTTCAGTGATTTTACATCTTAGCTAGGCCTCTTCTAATTCTCTGAAATTAACGGCATATTGTGGAGAAAAGTGCTCCTTCTCAGGGTGAAAAGACCAATGTTTGTGGTTCATGCCAAGGAATGGTACGCAGAGAGGCTCTTGCTTTTACTTTTTGCTGTAACAACCAAAATCAGCTAATTTTGTTATTTGTCCCATTGGAGGGTCGGAAACAGAAAAAGCATAGAAGGGTCCCACCTGTGGGGAGGAGCGGACAGGACAGGTGACCCAAACCTGACCCACAGGGGTATTCCATCCCATTTGTGCTCAGTATAAAAGCTGAGGGATCAAAGGGTCAGCCTCTTCCTTCAATTGCTGATGTCCGAAGAGGACCCTGTCTGTTCATCTGCCTTTGGTCCCAATCAGCATGTTCCCGACTCCAGAGCTGGAATGCGGTTCCCATCCATTGCTGGGTCCAGTCTGGGACTCCCCCGGAGCCTGCCGGTGATGTCATCCTGGGAGCTTGTTACAGTTTTGTATCTATTTCATTATTTCCTTTTTGATTTTAATAGTAATACTTCATTAAAGTAGTTTAGTTCATTCTGAACTTGTAAATCTCCTTATCTCTTCCTCTTCTCTCTTTGGAGAGGGTGGAAAGGGCCATCTGTCATTCTGATTGGCCAATCTGTCCAAAACACAGCAGTTTTCAAAATACACTTGCTGCTCTGTGCTAAAGATGGGCAAGACAAGCTTGGTTTTGCAGTTAGATTTGAAGATTATAACGTTGGGGTTTCTCCTTTAGCTATTCTGTGTTGCCTTTTGTAGGTTCGTTGCCTGGATGCTTCGACAAATCAGTCTGTTCAGAGACACAAAGATGTCGTGCTGTTTGGTGAAGTCTATGCTACTGTGGGTGTTGCCAGTGTCTTCTTGAGTCGTCTTAAAAACAGTCATGGGGAAGGACCCTTGATGTTGCTTGACTTAATGCATCGGTAAGTCTAGCTGAGCTAGCAAGGGCTTCTCATTAGTTGCCATCATTAATTCTATGGGATAGATCAGGAGATAAAATTCCCTTTTCCTCCTTTTTCCTAGAGCTTGAGTGGCTTCTACTTGTCGAGGAGCTGAGGTGCTGTCTTTTGAGGATTAGCTCAGAGAGCATTTCCCATAAACAGGGCCTGTGTTTGTCCCAAATGACAGGAGCTTCAGAAGATCCAGGAATCTTTACCTCCCCCTGGGCCGGTCTGCCCTGTGTCCCTGGGTGCTGGAGAGGTCTTGGGAGGCCAAATCGGGTCTGGAGCCTTTCTCTCCCACACCTCAATGGAAAATGCATCGGGCAGATGGTGAGGGAACCTGCAGGGCACAGGGATACCCTGTAAGATGCAAGAATCTTGTGGGAAAGGAAGATCTCTGGAGGTATGGGGATGGGCCATGTCTGAGGGAAAACTGCATTTTTAGAAGACTCTAGAGTCTGAATTTGTGAAAATATTTACTTTATAGCCAGCTATGGATTTCAAGGTCTCAGTGTTTTTGAGCCTTGCCAGGTGCAGGGACAAGGAGGAGGGAGACCCGGGTGCTTGACCCAAGCTGCCAACAGGATTATTTCATACCATGAAGGTCTCATTCAATATAAATTAGAAAATTTGCTGTGTATTCTCTCTCTTCCTTGATGGCTGCAATCCTGAGAACTTCTTGCCCCAGTGCCGGACCCCTGAGCCCTTCCCTTCCTCCCGAAGCCGTAGCGCCCACAGTGTCCCACATTTGCTGTCCCCGCTGGGAGCGCACAGCTTCCTGCTGGTAGAATGGGCATATAATCCTTGTATGTTTTATATAGGCATTGGGATCAATATTGGTTCTTTAGTATTATTACTGTTAACTAATTAGTCTTACTCTATTAAATCTGTTTATATTTCAACTCTCGGGTTTCCTTGTTTTTTTCTGATTCCCCTTCCCAGGTCAGGAGGAGTCATCGGGTGAGAGAATAACTGTCTAAATGACGATAAATTGTTTTAAGTTCTTCAAACCATAGCTACTGGGTTTCCTCCAGCTCCAGCAAAGCAGTGCTGATGTATCCAAACCACCATCTCAAAGCAGACCGTTGCTGGGATGCACCATTCTTGCTGAATTAAATGTAGTAGATAGGGCTCAACATCCTGTGAGTGACTTGTTTTGTACCGTGTTCAGGTTTGGGGTTTTCTTTCAGCTTTATTTATGCAGCTTTCATATTTTAAGAATGCTACAGATCTTTGTCTTGACTGAGACAAAAACTGTGCTGCAGACTTTGAGGGTGGGGAGGGCTTGCAGTTTTGGTAGCTTTTTGGCAAACAAATCAGGGGTTTGGCATCCATTCCACGATGGACATTTAGGCAATCCCTGCCACTTCAGGGTTTGAAAAAGGCAGCCATGTATCTATCCCCAGTGCCACCAGAGGTCCCCATGGCCTGAGACCCTTGTGCTGTGTGATCTTTAACTCAAGCT